CCCCCCCCCCCCCCCCCCCGCCGCGGCTGCACATGGCGCGGCGGCAGCAACAACAGCAGCAGCAGCAACAGCAGCAGCAAAGAAGCGTCACCTCCTCCTTCCTCATCAGAGACATTTTGGCGGACTGTAAACCGCTGGCCGCCTGCGCTCCTTACTCCAGTAACGGACAGCCGGCGGCGGCGCAGGAGGCGGGGAGGCTCGCGACCAAGATCCCCGACGATTTTATGGAGAAAATTCACAGCAACTCTTCTTCAGACAGCGAGTACAACAAAGGTAAGAGTTTAACTCGAGTCAGCTGACTCGGTCTGATACCATCAAAACAGGTGGATAATTATCACGATGTTTATCGAATAATAAATATTATAAAAAATAATAATAAACACGACAAACTACAAGACAATGTTAATTAAAAACTCATTAGACTAAATATATTTTCCACACACTCGGACTGCCCGAACTAAAAATGTTTTTTTTTTTTTACATGTTTTTACTACAATATTTATTATTGAATTATTTCTTGGCCTTTCTCACAGACCGGAAAATAAAAACCGCCGCAGTCAAGTTTTATCATGTCATTATAGCTGTTGTTAAAATTAGATTTACTTTGAAATTATTTGCCCAAAATTCTCCTTATAAAGAAGTAAATAAAAGAATAGAAGGAGCAGATCGAGATGTGACAATAACACAGCAGACTTTTCTGCTCACTTCGCACCTCTTTTTGTTCACTCTCTCAGACTCATTGTCTGATTTGAATTATTCATTAATGTAAATAAAATGGACAAACCCTCGTGAATTAATTAGACAGAGTTAGAAAAACACAGGCGCATTCAGATATATGAGGCTGTACAGTAAAAAAGAAATATATGTCTGAATTTGATCACCCTTGTTAAATGTAATATTTGGGGTTTTATTTATTGGGGTTTATTTGTGACGACAACACACACTTCTTGTTTATAAGTTGCGGATGTAACAACCTTTAAGTTGTAGAAATAATTCTGAACTGAACTCTCAGAGAAATCGAGGTTTATTTATTTTTCGAGGCCGCCGAACGTCATTAATAAAAAACCCGCCCCGCGGATGCGTCACGGTGTGAAAACGAAACGAACACAAACTTGAGACTTAGAGGAATAATAATCAACAACAGAAGTAAAGTATTATTGATAGTAATGCAGTGAAGTCTGAGGTGACGTTTCCTGTTCTTCTAACTGACCTTCATTCAACAGACGTGTCGTCTGTTCTAATGACGTGTCGGGATTTAAGACCCAAACAAGTCAAGGCCTGGGAAGACACCACACAAACACTGAAGTGATTCAAATGATACACACATACAGACCATAATAATAACGACTCACGTTTTGTAATCATCGTTAAAGTTTTTCCGCCGTGCGTGAAATTTAGTTTCAGGTTTTTTTTCTCTTTAGCAGAGACATAATCCCGCTCAGATTATCTCCACTGACTCCTGCGTGAATTATCTGGGAGTTAAACCTATAAAGTTGTTTACTTTTTTCTCGGTTTGTAAAATTCCACTGTGTCGTTTCTGCACAGATGGAGAATTTTCTTTTCTTTAGTTTCCACTGAGGTCTGAGACTCTGTCTGATTGACACGTTCTCCTTCACCTCCTTCTCTCCTTCTTCTCCTTCTTCATCACACGGGCTGCAGCTGCTGCTGATTTCTTCATCACTTTGTCAAACACAATCACAGCTTCATTACCGACCTGCTTATCATTAGCACTAATGACCTTAACGAGACTGAACCTCGACCACAGTCGTGACTCATTTAAACTCCGCTTTATTTGCGTTGTGACATTTTTGACTCCTTTACGGTCGTTTCGATGCCTTTTAGTCTTCGATGTAAATTTAAAATATTTTTGGCATTTTTCATTGGTACATATTTACTCATCTCACATCACCGTTATACCCACGTTGTATTTAAACTATTTCATTTAAATATATAGTTATTTATACATCTGCGATGCTAATTTAAATGAAATCTTCATATTTAATATTTTATTAAAATCATTTTATACATAAATATAATTGTTTTTGCATTCATCCTTTTTGTATTTCTTTATTATACAATTTACACATTTATAGTCACTATTAATAATAATAATAATAATTATTATTATTATTATTTACATTCTTTACATTATTTACATTATTTATCATTATCGGGCTTCGTTTACCCGATACTTATTTTTGGCGATTTTTCAAAATTATTTTTGCTAAACAAATGTTTAAATTATTCGGGAATTCATTATAAATATAAGTTTCCTACATTTTATTTATAAAATACTCAGGTTTAATTATCAATCTGATTAATTTGTTATTTTACACCTGAAAAATATTTATATTATAAAATAATAAGTATACAATAATTATTATTATTTTCGTCCATCGCGTGGATTCCGCTGCGTTTTCATGCGCGCGTGCGGTGGACGCTGTCGGTCCGGGACGCGCTGATTGACGAGGGGAGCCGCGGGGCCTCACGCACGACCGCTTTGATTTTTCCACGCTGCTCCTCTGATCATTACTCAGGGATTTCATGTCATTTGTCCACGGCGTTAATCACGTTTGTAAGAAACCCGCCGTGCACAGGCACACGCACGCGGACGCACAGCCCCCGATTCCCACTCTCGCGTCACTTCCACGCAGCAGAAGTGAGGCTGGTTTCAGGTCGCGGTTCAAAGACTCGGTCCTTCCCTCGTGGCTCAATTAGGAGGATTATGGCCGTGATTCTTGTGCAGGATGAATCCTCATCTGATCTCAGCTCCCACTCTTTCATTCTTCAATTCTTCTCTGCTCTGTTTTCCACGCCCTGACGTGACAGGAACACTCAGCAGAAAGAACAAAGAGTGACGGGAAGATATCAGATCGGAACTGAGGAAGATTGGAGGAGAAATCTAGGAGATTTCAGATCAGATCAGATCAGATCAAATCAAATCAAATCTAGAACCTCCAGCTGCTGCTGATTCAGAAAAACCGAGGCCGCAGGAAATCAAAGAAAACCACAGTTTTTACTGAATATTTGACAAAAGAGTTCAACGTTAGTATATTCTATAACTCTGTCACTGATTTACAAACGGGATCTAAACACGAGGAAATCAAGTCAAACATTCATAAAGTGTTTCCATCATTATGTCAAATTTACACCATTCTGTTATGAAATCACAACCCGATGTTCTTTACAACTGAACAATGAAATATTGATTCATCAACATTTAACAAAGAACAACAGACGAGTTCCTGTCATGTTGTGGCGGTATTTGCAGAAAAAATCTAAACATTTTCCCATCAAGTTTTTCTAAAGAACCGACTAAACCAAAAAGTTTCTCCACAACAACATAAGATCAATGATGATCGAGATTTTCAATAATAATAATAATAATAAAAACGATTTTACTTGACTTTAAAAACAAACTCAAAACCAAGCAAGTCGTGTCGTTTAACAAAATATTCAAATAATTATTAAAACAATTACCAAAAATATACTTGCATGAAATATATATTTTAATTTTATATACTTTGTCCTCGTCCAACTTTGTTCAAACAGTGCTCATTTAAAGACACCTTCAAAAGGGACGTTTTATGATGTCTGTTTTATTATAAATATATTTCTGGATCTGCAGTGATTCAAAAGAAGCCGTTTGACATGTGGACAAAATCAGTTTAAATTTTAAATATTAGACTGAAGTACAGTTGATGTGTTTATCGGTAAAAAAATACTTCAAATATTAAATACACATCATTCAGGTCATATATCCTGGTTTCTTACAGATTTAGTTGAATATTAAATATATTTATTTATTTTTATTCCAGATGTCGCTCATTGTTATTGTCACTTCCTCCAGGAGTGTCTTTGAGGTCTGATTTTTAATTTTTTTTATTTTCTGGTTCCAGTGAAGGAGGAGGGGGACCGGGAGATCTCCAGCAGCAGAGAAAGTCCGCAGGTTCGGCTGAAAAAGCCCAGAAAAGCTCGCACGGCCTTCACGGACCATCAGCTGGCTCAGCTGGAGCGGAGCTTCGAGAGACAGAAGTACCTGAGCGTCCAGGACCGGATGGAACTGGCGGCTTCACTCAACCTGACCGACACCCAGGTCAAGACCTGGTACCAGAACCGCAGGTACGGAGGGGCGCACGGACTTACAGCGGTTTCTGCTGGGGGAGGTTTGGGGGAGGAGGGACAGCAGGAGTTTTAGAAACTAACGCTTGATAAACACGTGATCAATAAGTCGGATTTTAAAATACGCGGTTTTCTTTCTTTCTTTAAATTTTTTTTAACAAATAAACGATCACCGAGGTACAGAATTAGAGTCCAGTCTTTTGGGATTTAAGCTCGAAATGTATTAATTATTCATCATTAATTTAGAAGAAGAGTCCTGCTGTGACGTCATGTTTCACCCTCAGGGTCACGTGAGTTCACGAGACTAATTACTAATTAATCTGCTGTTTAATGGCGATTAAACCAAGGAGACGGTTGGTTTGAATGGATGATAATTATTATTTTTCAAAGTAAAAGAATAAATGAACTAAAATAATTTTATTTTCACTTAAAATGTTACTACAACAAAATATTTCTAGGTCGATGTTTTAAGATGAATTTTATTTTTTAGATGATTAGTTAAAATATGATTTTTAAATTCATTATTTTTTTCTGTTCGGGATTAACACAACAATATGAATAAAACAAATTCAAGGAAAAATCACCAGAATAATTAAAAAAACAAAACAATACTTAAATAAAACATTTTTTGTTTCATTTGTTATGTGAAACAATATTTCTTTTTTGATTTATTTATCACTAGGGACATTGGCTGACTTTGATTTAAAATCTCAGAAAAATAAAGGTAAAACATTTTTATTCATGAATGTCATTTCTATTGAATAACTCTCCGTTAATATGTTTTTTTTCCACGATTTTTGAAGCTCGTGTTTTATTTCATTTATTGCCAAATGTGTGAAGTTTTGATGGCAGCAGAACAAACTGCTGTCGCTCTTGTGAACACGGAGGTGTCACCTCATCTTTTCATGCTGTAAATAAATAAAAAGCTGAGGCAGAGCACACACACACACACACACACACACACACGGTTGAGACAGGCGGTGGTGTGTGTGCGCGCGTTGTTCCTGCTTCAGCTCAGATTTTCTTTCTGGGAGTGAAAAAAATAAATATACAGCCAACAGTTTTCAGGATGAATTATGCAGAGTTTGCATGTGTGAGAATCAATAATTCACAACAAAACCACTGTATCTGCTCAATTATCTTCAGGATGAATTATTCACCTGTGTGTCCGCGAGAACTGACTGACACCAGGAGGACAGAGACAGAGAGACACAGAGACACAGAGACAGAGAGAGAGAGACGTTTGTTTTACTGTCATTAAAACGAGAACAATAGATTTTGACCTGGCTTTTTACTTTAATATAATATAATATAATATTGTATAATATTATATAACAATAACCAACAGTATCAGTGTTCTCTAAGATATAACTTTCAGAGCAAAGTATTTAAGTAGGAAAATATGTTTTACAATACTGAAAAGCCGTCTGTGAAAAAACAGATTTTTTTTTCAAAAATCCAAATCTATTAACTTTACTTCACAACGTTTTATTTGAGATTTCTACGCGTCTCCTAACAAATAACTTGTATTTATTTTTACATTCATTTGGACTAATTTTACTGTATGACATTGTAGATGTCACCGGCCACTGGCAGCGCCACCTGAACCATCAGAGGTCCACAGCCCTCATGTTCCGACCGGGTGTGTCTAACTCAAGGTCTTCTGTTTTGTGTGTTTTCAGGACAAAGTGGAAGCGTCAGACGGCGGTCGGTCTGGAGCTTCTGGCTGAAGCAGGAAACTACTCGGCCCTACAGAGGATGTTCCCCTCCCCTTATTTTTACCCACAAAGCCTGATGTCCAACCTGGACCCCAGCGCTGCCCTCTACCTGTACAGGGGCCCAGCAGCCGCACCACCCCCGGCCCTGCAGAGGCCCCTGGTGCCCAGGATCCTGCTCCATGGTGTACAGGGAGGCAGCGAGCCACCGCCCCCGCTGCCCCCTATGGGTGGAGTCCTGCCCCGGCCCACACAGCAGCGATGAACGGCCCTGCACTAATCTGTCTGAGACTCATTACAACAGAGACAGAAGCAAAAGATTTAAAAAGAAGACGAAGAAGAAGAAGAGGAGGAGGAGGAGGAGATGGAAAACAAACTGATCAGCTTTTTCTCTGCTGTGAAGAGAGAAAAGACTGGAGACAGAGACGGAGACAGAGACTCCAGTTAAGGATTTATTTTGTCTCTTTTGATGGTTTTATTTATACGTTATTTATTTTTCACCATGAAGAGTCTAACTTATGTATTTATTTGAGCCCAGTTTCAGTATTGATGGAGTTTTAAACCAACCAATAAACTGTTGGTGGAACAACGTGAACCTTGATCATTGTTACTGTTGTTGTCATTGAAGTGAACACTGTAACAAATGACACCTCAACTTGATGAAACTTCAAATTTCAACTCAACTTCCTGCCACAACTTTTTTCAGTTTTGATCCAAATGTGGTCTGTTCAGGTGACGCTGTAGTTGTATCACATCAGGGATGATTTAAAATGAAAGAAATTAACAACGTGGTTTCAAATGATTGACAATTCAGCTTTTAACTTGAAAGTTTTTGTAAATTGTAATTCTTCAATTTGAAATTAAAAGGTTATTAAAGACTGGAAAAAATAGATAAATATAATCTAAATAAAGCAAATCCTTTTACATAATTTTAGTCATAAAAGTCTGTCATAAAGTCATTGAAAACCTGGATTTTAAATGAAAACTGAAAACAGATTTGCGGTGTGTTTTGATGAAATTTGAAGTTTCTCCAGTCTTTGTTTTTACAGTGCTGGTGGAGCAGTTCCGGTTTCATTTCCTGTTCTGATAAATATTGTTCTCCACATACCGTACGGTTCACAGGTTTTATTGGAATGTTCTGTGGTCTAAAGATCTAAAGAGGTCATTTCTTCAACCTGCTCTGAAAACGAGGCGATGGGGGAAAAACTCCGCTGTAAATAAGAATATTTTGCATTTTACAGGAAACTTAAGGAGGAATTTTCTGTTCTTTTTTTTTTTTTTTTTTTTTTTTTGAGGCGATGTCTGTCAGTGAGTGTTCTTAAATCACGCGGCTGGACTGGAGGTGGAGAAGTGAGAATGAGGGGAAGATAGGAATGATAAAAGCAGGAACACACACGTGAGCAGCAGCAGGTGTGAGGGTCAGGGGGAGGGTGTGTGTGTGTGAGGTGACGGACTCCTGTCTGAGAGCTCCTCAAACACACCAACCATGAATCTATACAATCTTCATCTTGTCCTTAGTTGGAGTAAAAACACGTGGAGTGGTTGAAAAAACGCGTCCGTTTTTTCTCTTCCTTTTTTTAACGCGTAATTTAAGGCAGAAATTGTGTTTTTTTTAACTCATGTATCTAAACAGACAGTTGTGAGTTCATATGATGACGAGGAGGAGGAGGAGGATGATGATGACGAAGATGGTGATATTCTTAGTTGTCTGCAGCGCAGTGATCAGATCCTCACTCTTCTTCCTCTCCTTTGGTGAAAATGTATATTACAGATATCAAACTTGTGGAGTGATTCTCGTCAGATATATTTCCTGAGTTTTATTTGATGATTCATTTTATTTATTTTTATTTTCTCTCTTTTTTTTTAAACCCTCTCCCCTCGGATTTTTGTGAAGTTCATTTTTTTGGTGAAGTTCACAGCAGAACGTTGGACGTCGGAGAAACAAGAGAGGGATTCGATGTAAAAGAGAAATACTTTTATAAATGTGAAAATAAAAAACGTGCATTTTAAAGACGTGGCAGCGGCAGTGTGTGTGTGTGTGTGTGGACCATGATGACGTATTTGTGTGTGTAGGATTCAAAGAAAAGAAAAACGTCGGTACTAATAATCGGTACTAAATGCGATAAATATAAATCAAGTATCGAAATTATAAAATTCCAATCATTGTTTTTTTAGTTCCAAACTCAGATTAAAGATAAAAATGTTAATTTGTCCATTCAGTCACAGCTGAAAAAATAAAAACTTTAAAAAAAGATTTATTTATTTTAAATCACTTTTAAATTCAGGAAAAACAGAAAACGGCTGTTGAATGAGCGTCGTCCATCGACGAACATCGGTCCAGAGCAGAAACATCATCGGAGGTGGAGACGAAGACCACGAGAACATCTGCTGCTTCTCTGTTGCTGTCAAAGATCGTCCAGAATATTCTGGAGCCTGGTGAGGGTCTGGAGGAGCTACAGCAGACCAAACCAGGTCTGAACTGCAGGTCCAACAAGATGACCCCTGACCTGGGTTCAATTTAGGTTTAAAAAATCCAGCTTGAGTTTCCTCAGTTTATCAACCGTTAACATTTTTTATGACTTAAAACTAAATTCTAATTATTATGATACTTATCGACACGTTAACGACTTCTTTCTCCCGTTAAGGACTTTTTTTGGTAATTTATACACATTTCCGTTCTTTTGGAAAACTTTTAGTTTGAAACTCATTATTTTAACATTCTAACAGGCGAATAAATAATTATAGGAAAAAAACATTATATTTTTAGGACGTTGTAGCGAAAGAGTTCTAGTTTGACCGTGTAAGTGTGACGCTAAGCTTTAATTAAACAAAGCAGCAGCAGGTAGCGGAACAGACTTCCTCCTAAATGATGTGTTTAAAGTCTGTCGTTTCCTTTTGTTTCACGCTGTAGATTTACGGATTAATTTTGACTCGGAGTTTTTAAAATTGTGTTTTATTATTAGCACATGCTTTACCTTCACTTTTCCTCTCTTAACATTTTATTAATCAGAGCAGAACACGTGTTGGTTTTTCTTCAGGGACGAATGACGTCACTCTCCACGTCTGTTATTATATCAAACATATGAGACAAACCCGGGGCTCAGACGACAAGGTGGAACCTCCTCATCTCAGGCTTCACGTGACCAGGGCCAGGACCTTGAACACCTCAGCCCGACACTCTCACCGGAAGGAGGGATAGAAGAAGAAAGAATGAGAGGAGCGGGAGATTTTTGGAAACGATGGAGCAGACGAACGGGTCTGCTGCTGTGTCTGTTCTCAAGGTCTTCTCAGGAACATCTGGTGGTCTTGGAGGGCCACTGTTTTCAGGGTGTGTAGAAATAAAGGCAGGAAAGTTTTCAGGGTGTGTAGAAATAAAGGCAAGATCACTGTGCAGAAAAGTGTTGGTTTCACATGGACGGACGGAAGTGAATAGGAAGTACAGCAGCAGCGGGAGGAGGAAACGGAAACAAATGACAGTGAAACGCACGGACGGGTGTGTTGAAAATGCTATTATATTATCATAAAAAATAAACACTGACAGGACAAACAATTCCTTCCCATCATGTCCGAGCTTTTAGAACATGCTAGAACGTACTCCAAGAATTGCTCGTGCCCCCAACATCCCTAAGACATTTCAACGTGATTAAAAATGGATTAATTTATTTTATATTTTATTTATTTTGGATCGGTTCTCTGAACCAGTGCCAGTAGGTTCTGTTTACACAAGTTAATATTATTATTTTTATTTAGATTGTTGCACTTTTCTCGTATTTAATTTGAAGTTTGAACCAAGCGATTTTTAAGTAATTGGGTCATTGGTGGGGACTCCTCTCCTCCTCCTACTTGCCCTCCTCTTCCTCCTGTCTTTCCTAAATGAACTCCTGCAGAAACTCCACGTGTTTGTCTCTTTTTTGGAAATGAAATATTCATGGCTCCAGTGATTGTTTAAGTGCCTTTAAATGATCCCGTTTTGGAAAATTGATTGTTTCCATTCTTTTATCCTCGACGGTTGCGTGCATCGTGAACGCGCGTCGCTCTGCCAAACGGCCCCAACAGCTGGTAAACGGAGGAGCAGGGGCGGAGACAGCTGGTCAGCGGTTGCACCTCCCTCCATTCAGACCCCCACCCACAACATCCAGACCTCCACCCATTTATCCACCCAGAGCTAGAGTCAACCAGCCGTGACACCGTCAGGGTGTGTGTGTGTGCGTGTGCTTGTGCGCGCAGGATGTTAACAAGCAGACAAAAGAGCAGTAATGGTTTTTAATTGAAAGTCGATAATGGCTTTGATAGGCAGCGCCCCCTGTGGTCAGCCACGCATGGCACCTGTTATCTATGCGTGTGCGTGTGTACGTTGTGTGAACGGAAAGTGACGTCAGCCGAACAGAAAGCTTGAGAAACTTTAAGTTACTTTTTCTCCTGGTTTAACAATTTTAAGCCTTAACTTAAGTTTGATTTAACATATTTTAAAGTCAAAATGTCAAATTAAGACTTTACTTTTTTAATATTTAAATTGCAATTCTAGTGATGTGTTTGGTTCTAACTTGGCAATTTATATTATTTAAAGGTTTCTTTTTCAGTCTGTGGCTTAGATTGTCTTTACTGTATTTACTAGACACAAAACTAATTTATTATCTTTATTTTAAACATTCTGTCTCTGTCACAAACCTCTAATCATTTTTACTTTTAAATATGTTGTTTGAATACAGTTAAATCATTTGACCCAAATTTGTCTTCAACAGATTTGCTTTAAATTAAGTTACAAATGCGTTAAAAATGTAATATTAATTGAATCGAAAAATAGGTTTGTGTAGATTTTTATTCATTTTTTGAGAATTTTTGTTTAGATCGGCAATAAGGTTTTGTTTACCACGTGTTTAAGGAATTCAAACTGTGAGACTAACAAAAAAATTCAAGTGAATAAAGTCAGTCTGAGGATTCCTGAGCGCCCCCTGCAGTTCGTTTGAACAGGTCCACAGTTAATGTGAACATCAGAAAAAAAGAGAGAGAGGCTGGGGAAAGAAATCACCTCCTTAAAGTTACAAAGATCATTATTTTGCCATCATGAGGGTCCGTGACTGATTCACATAACGACGGGGCTCGGAATAAAGAAGGTTGTTCTCACAACAATGGACAGCTGACTGTGTGTGTGTGTGTGTGGAGGTTTTGCATGTGAAAAGGTTGCTGCTGCCACTGCTGCTGGTTGTGGCTGTGAATAAATCCCTGTCTTTTAGCGTGGATTGTCCCCGGCTCAGGGTTAATGAAGTGTGGATGGAGTCTCGTCGAGCTCCCGACAGACACAGAAGAAAGAGAGGAGCTGTGAACTGAGGATCAGTGACTCTGCTTAATCCCATAATAAC